TATTCTATCTTTATGTCTTGTAACTTAGTAACATTTGAGCCATTCATTTGGCAAATTTACTACCCACTATCTTCCTATTCATTGCAAGGAAGAATTCATCACCTATAAATAGTGTGGTCTTCCTTGTGTTGGGTAGATGTAGAGACAACAAGAGATGTACAAGAAAATATAGAGTGAAAAAGATTAGTAGTATTACATTGAGTTTATATTGAGATTAGTGTAGTGAAAGAGAGAGTTGACACATAGAAAAATATTCTAAGTCTTCAACTATATTCACTATACAAAGTAGAGTAATTATATGTTGAAGGAATGTGTTGTTATGTAGAGCTTTGGACTCTTCAACTAATCCAGAGTTGCTTGAGTTGTACAACGTTGTTGGGCTATTGTATCCTGGAGGGGACAAGTCAAGAGTATTACTGTTGGATCGGTGTAGATTATGTTGCAGTGGGCTTGAATCTCCTTAAAGAGAGCGAGTTATCTGCGCCTCAACCTAAAGAATTATTTATTCATTTTTTGTCATTTTATTTTCAACTGTAATTTATATTATTTGTGGTATATTACACCAACACATTGTGATTTGGAGCGTGTACGATTGACCTACGGATAGGCTACAACTTCCTTTCTAATTAGATTGAGCATGAATGTGTGAATTCATGATGATTAGTGTGAATTAGGGGCGGGTTCCTAGTTATTCCTGCTTTTATTTTAGAAACCATATGATTTAGGGTTGATTACTACTATTCCAAGTGTAGTACCATGATTAGTTGGGATTGTACGTGTGTTGTTGCATGCTATGTGATTTACTTATTTTATTACGTGTTTCATGAAGCATGTTTGGCCTTAGTCTAGAATAGACTAGTATTGCCTTAGACTTATGAACCTTGTGACTTTGGTACGTCTCCAACGTTGTTTGGATGGACTAGGTCCTTGTAGACTGTAACAACAGACTTGGGTTTGATAGAATGAGCCTTAGTTCATGCGTTTGTGCACATTGCTAGCCCTTTCAATCTCATCTCCCTATTTCTGTGGCTCAGATGCATTACGAAAGATTGTGTGCTTTCTTGGGATTGGAGTGCTTCCATCTTGGAGCCTTTTGTGATACCCTTGGGAGTGGACGTCGATCCATGGTGGCTTGGAGCCTACCTAAGACCCTCTTCAAAGTCGATATGCCCCCGGACACTCTTGCTAGCTGGGTGGCTGACACCCCTGGGAGTAGACTGGCTTGCTGGGCGGCTTGGAAATCTGAGATTCTCTACGGAGTTGACACGCCCAATTGGAAAAAAATATTTCAAACTCAATGGGATTGACAAAACAACCATCAAAGTTCATCTTGATAAAATGTTAATCAAAGTCAACACTTAGATTAAAAAACACCACCAAACATTCAAAATGATTCTAGAAGCCTCGGGATTTGAAGCAAAGGTCCTACTAGATCAAAATCTATATTTAGGAGCTAATAATGTTGATGAAAATCTCATCCAAACCAGTTTACTAAGAATGTTGAATGAAGTCAATCATTTCAACTTAAAAGCTCCAAAATTGGAGAAACCTTCCCAAAACTCGCCTGAATACCTTAAGAGTTGCGCCACCCATCCCAAAAACTCATAAACACAACACAAAAGCTAAAAAAAGGAGAAAAATAGTGAAAATTCACAAAAGCAAAAAAATGACCAAGAAGGTTAATAGAGGAACTAGAGAAAAAATTGTGTTGAAACTAATCATGTTGTTGAAAGAAAGAAAGAAAAAAGTTATACTTTCTGTGCTAGTGGTAACTCTTGGTAAGATTGTGCTTATGGGAAAAAAAAGAATTATGGGTGAATGTTTTAAATCAAGGAGTTGTGTTCAACATAAGTGTAAAGTTTGAGCTTTGATTTTGTACGTATTAAAGTTCTTAGAGAGGTGTAGTCATTATTTTTCATATGCATCCTATCCGTCCCCTATATTACATTACAATCAAGTTAAGTCCTACTTGATATTAGACTAAAAGAGCTTGGTTTGGTGCAGTAGTACATCAAGGATAAGCCTATGGTACATTATTTGTGGCACATGAACTTTATTTTGAGAGATTCATTCGATCTTGAGTCCTTGAGTGTTATTAAATTATATAGGGACTTTAAGTAGGGGGGAGGGGGGATGATGGTTAGATATTCAATGAATTTTATGAGCTTATTTGATGTGAATTTATTCAAAGTTAGATTAGGCGTGGATATATCTAAATTGTGTTGTTTTATGTACATGTGAAGAACAATCCGACTTGAGAACAAGATAAAGGAATCAAGGGAGAAAAACATAGAAGAAATGCATCAGATGAATTATGAAAAGTTGTGTGATCGCCAACCTAAAGTTGAGACCGCATAACAAAGGCATACGCAAGAAGCCAATGTCAAGGCGATGAGATTATTTGCACCATCAGAATCCTAGGTGTGCGACTGCACATAAGCCAACAAGATTCTTTCAAGTCGGGGCAATTTCAAGATTTCAAAAGAACACAACGCCATGCTATATAAGGTTGAGACGCGTTTAATATTAGGTATCTTGATATAAGGGGGAGAGACAGAAGGTCTGAAAGAATGCTAAGAATGGAAGAGCTACTCCAATCCAAAATGAAAGTTGAGATTGAGAGTTTGATTGTAATGTTTTCTCGCTTTTTATATATTTTTGTGAATTTTTCTTTTCTAATGGACTAGATGAAAATAATTTTTTTTTCGTAGGGTGTTTTTATAGACAAGGTATTTTGATGATTTATTGCAAATTTTAACTTTTGTTTTTATGCTTGAATTGGAAAGGTGAATTGAATTGCATATCATTCACTACTTTATTTAATCGTAGAGAAATTTGTTAGTGAATATTTCAATAATATCTTGTTTGGTTCCAATCTGTGAGTCGTCTAAGTAATCGTATGAGCTTGTCAAATTATCAATTGAACTAAAGAGAAAAATATACGAAAGACATTTTCCTCGAGACTTAACCATTATAGAGTTTTTGCATATATTTTCAACGAGATTCTAATTAGTTTATTACATAGAATTTAGAATTGAAATAGGAATCTAAGCTTCGAGAATAATCTAAATAACTATTAAATTCGTAGAATCAATCGAACCTTTGAAGTTAGATTCTCAATAATTATCTTGCACATATCTTATCTACTAGTAAAATTACCCGCGCTTCGCGCGGGAATTTAATATCACAGAATTTATAAAATAATACTTAAAATCTATCAGTCATTAAAATGAAAATACTATATTATTTTACATACAAAATTACGTAGTAACAAACTTTAATAATGTAAAGGAAAATGAAAATTATAACATCTTATCATTTATTCTTAATAACATAAGCATAAATTTATGACTCTAAAAAAAATACCAAGATCTCTAACATAAGCAAGGGTGTCAGTGAGCAACTCAATAGGAGCAAAGTATACGAATATTTAATTGTGCAGAAGATGGAAAAAAAAAGAATAAGACGTTCAGAATTTTCGTTGTTTTAAAATGAGAGGAAATCCCTCTATTTATAGACAACAAAGGATAGTGTGAACAAATATTTGTTGTGCCTTATCGAAAAGGTCACAACTATTTGGAAAAGTTATAACCCTTCGGAAAGATCACAACCTTTCATAAAAGTCACAACTTTTCATAAAAGTCGCAACTCTTCGTTGAATTCACAACTTTTCATAAAAGTCACAAAATAAATTAAAAGGGAATCCTGATTTGTGGTGGTGCCACGTAGGCGGGCATAAGGTTCTCTTATATATATATACTAGTAAAATTACCCGCACTTCGCGCTGGAATTTAATATCACAGAATTTATAAAATAATACTTAAAACCTATCTGTCATTAAAACTAAAACACTATATTATCTTACATACAAGATTACGTAATAACAAACATTAATAATGTAAAGGAAAATGAAATTTATTACTTCTTATCATTTATCCTTAATAACATAAGCATAAATTAATAACTGTAAAAATACATACCAAGATCTATAACATAAGCAATGGTGTCTGTGAGTCACTCAACAGGAACAAAGTACACAAATATTTAATTGTGAAGAAGAAGAAGAGGTTTAGAATTTTCGTTGTTTTAAAATGAGAGGAAATCCCTCTATTTATAGACAACAAAGGGTAGCGTGAACAAATGTTTATTGTGCCTTATCGGAAATGTTACAACTATTTGGAAAAGTTGCAATCCTTCGAAAAGGTCACAACCTTTCATAAAAGTCACAACTTTTCATAAAAGTTGCAACTCTTCATTTAAGTCGCAACTTTTCATAAAAGTCCCAACTCTTCATAAAAGTCGTAACTCTTCATAAAAGTCACAACTTTTCATAAAAGTCAGAACTCTTCATTAAAGTCGCAACTCTTCATAAAAGTCACAACTTTTCATGAAAGGGGAAGGCTAGTTTTGGCAATAAATAAATTTAAAAGGGAATTTTGGTTTGTGGTGATGTCACGTAGGCGGGCCTAATACTGATAGCATTATTGCTCTCGGCATCAATTGTCTTTACTTATAATTTAGTCTATAATTATGGTTAAAAACACAACAACTTCAAATTTTAATCGCTTGAAATAATCAGTAACAAGTTCTGTTAGATTTTACTATTCATATCAATCCTTGCAGAGACGATCTTTATAATATACAATTTTTGGCTAGCGAAGTTAAGTTATACATCGTTTTGTACTTGTCAAAGAGTTTTCTTTATTTTACTTATTAATCCTTATCTCTCAATTTGCGAAAGTCATATGTCATTTTAAAACCGATTTACCGGCAATGCATAGTCCTCGGTCTTCCACATACAATAGATACCAAAATGGATTGAAAAGACCTGATAAATTTACTTTGAATTGATTCAGAAAGGTAATATGACTCTCGCAAAGTTAAAATATGTTGTTAAAAATAAAGTACAAAGTTATGGAAGTATTTTGTAATTTATGGCAAGTTAAAGCAAAGGTGTATTTGTACCATTTGTTTCCATATATGGGAGGGAAATAGAAATAAGAGAAAGTGAAAGGGTGAGGATGGAGCACCACTGAAGAGACAAGGTACACCTCTCTTCGTTACCCCCCAAACTGTTGTTTTTTGGGCATTTGGGGATGGAGTTGGCATTTTCATCCCTTCGATTTTCATCTCACCAACACAATGCTTACCGCTACAGAAAGTTAACCGCTCCACCTTCTTGTAATGCTGCTAACTTGGTGTTCAAATCTTCCAACAACTTGTCATCTTTGCCTGGATTGCGCAAAAAATTTTCAAACACCCTTTTGTGTAGAAACTACAGGCACACTTCCATTCGGGTATGTCTACAAATTTGAGATTATTTCAATTTTTCATGTCTAAGCAGAGAGAGGGGTTTGACATTTTATAGGATTGTCAAGTTCTTGAAATTTATTTTGTCCTAAAAAGGAATTAATTAGCATTTTCTGGCTTTGTTTGGTTGGTTTTTTGCTGCATCTTTCTGGTTTTAGTTAAATATGAGAGAGCAAACAGCTTGAAGAAGAAATTGATTACTCTTTGGATATATAATTTTGTGCTTTAATTAGTTTGAAGTTTCATTGACAAAAGTGCCCTTTATCCTACTGAACCTGAAGATGACGAATTGAGTGAAGCTTTTCAAAAATTTGATAGTTGCTGCATCTTACCATTAGCACTAAGTGTTAAAGAGCTCAACTTTCTATTGATTGCTTAATTATCTGTTTATATTATGATACACCAGTTATTGACCACATATATGGATCATTTATGTTCTTATTTCTATGTTGATTGCGTACGGAGATAAGATGTTCTGACAAGGGGTATTACTTTACTACCTTGAAATATTCAATTAGTAGCATTCTCATGAAAGATGAACATTTCCAGGCATGTTCTCAGGTTGGTACTGCTGGATCTGATCCAGCGTTGGATAAAATTTCACAGTTCAAAGATGCCTTTTGGAGATTTTTGAGGCCCCACACTATACGTGGGACAGCACTAGGATCCGCGTAAGTGTTTATTATGTGTATGATATGAGCAACACTTTGGTTAACTTGTGTTAACATGATTTCTTTGGCAGCTCATTGGTTACTCGAGCGTTAATTGAGAATCCAAACCTAATCAGGTGGTCATTAGTATTGAAGGCCTTTTCTGGTCTTATTGCCCTAATATGTGGGAATGGTTATATAGTGGGCATCAATCAAATATATGACATTGGCATTGACAAGTAAGTGATTGTAGAATAGAAGTATTTGTTAGGTATTGATTGATAGATTGTTTCTTTGTTACTTTAACCTGCAGACTACTCTTGCAGGACAGGATTGCAACCCATAAAATCTCAGCTTCTCAATTTGATGATGCAATTCATATATTTCTTTGATTACTGTTTTTCATAATGTTTTCAGGGTAAACAAGCCGTACTTACCCATAGCTGCTGGAGATCTTTCAGTTCAGTCTGCATGGATCTTGGTGTTATTGTTCGCTGTGGCTGGCCTTCTTATTGTTGGGCTGAATTTTGGCCCCTTCATTACTTCGCTTTACTGTCTTGGTCTCTTTCTAGGTACCATTTATTCAGTCCCACCATTTCGGCTGAAGAGATTTGCTGTCATAGCATTCCTAATAATTGCCACGGTATGCTTATTTGTTGATGTATTTGTTTGTTTCTTACTTCTCCTTACAACACATCTTGCTTTTCTGATTTTTTTGAGAAGTTCTGCATGTGCCGAAGTACCTCCATGGAAAAAGCAATATGCTTGATATCGCACTTGAATAAACTGTGGACATCGTATTGCAAATGTGAACTTTCCTTAGGGCAATCTTTTGCTGGTATAGGAAAAATGTTTGGTGTTTTGATGGCTAAATTCTTCCGTTGAATATGAATTATGATTTACCTCTTCTGAAGTCCCTCTTTTTATGCATTTCGTTGGCTGAGACTTCCTTAATTTGTGTACTACTTAGACATGATGCCTCAATAATTACAAGTACTATCTGAAAAGTAAAAACAGAGCCTTGAAACTTTTGATGCCTTTGGCTTTGGCATTGTGAGAAAAAGTGAACAGGATACAGTTTGTGCTGAGATGAAGTCTAAAGTTTCTGATTGTAGGAGAAGGTGTAGGGCAGATGGTGGTAGTGTGTTTAGTGCCTAGTATTATTTTTCTTTTACTTTTCTGTTTGGATATATTTGCAGTTAGTTTTAGAGGAGATAGCCAATTGAACATGACTATCAGCCAAGTGTTAATTTGAACATCGTGGCTACCTACGGCATATTAAGCTCTCCTCTTACTGTAATGGGGTTCATATAGCAAAAGGGTTCTTCATCATGAAGACAATTGTTAGCATGGCTTGGTGATGGTGGTCTGGGGGACATGACCACCTGTGGTACCCGCTGTTTTTCTCCTTGGCTGGTGCTCTCTGAGAATTAATTTCAAACCCATAAATAAAAAGGGGCAACTTTCCCAAAGTGACTCCAATTCAACATTGTGGTGCAGCCTAGTACCCTTCTTCCTTTTTGCGTGCACACCCTTTCCATCATTGAGTTAGGAATTTCTAGCAGCTTCTACATGTGACTGCTAGAGGCCATTTCTAATAGAAACGACTATATTATCTTGGTCCACACTTATTGCCTTTACAGAGGTATGTGAATTCTCGGAAGTCCAAAGCTTAACCTAAGCACCTGCTTCTCGCAGCTGTTCATAGTTGCATCTGTAGATGTCCTCATCATTAGTTGCAAGCAGTGTAAACTATGGAACCACTTATGTTGTAATGTTTCAATCATATCCTTTTCAATGGCTTGATCCTCTTTCCTATCAACAATTATTTTGTTGAACCTTACATTACCTTCTGTTTCTGCAGTAATCATCGACTCTGTTTCTGCAGTAATCATCAACACTTGAAATATAGGATAGAGCTATCAGGGCAGTTTCTACGTTTTTCACTGTTTGGGTATTGGGAAATAACGCTGATTAACATCTAGTCATCCATAACCAGTCTTAAGTCTTAACATCTTCTCACAATTCTGAATGGTTAATGTATGCAGTTATTCATTGTATTTTAAAGTTTTGCGGTGCATATATCTTTTTGCACGGGCCAATAAATATCACCTGCTTTGAGTTAAGAATGTATTGGTCACACGGAATCAAGAATTGATATGCATTGCAGGTGCGTGGATTTCTCCTTAATTATGGTGTGTATTATGCCACAAGGGCTGCTCTGGGGCTAAGCTTTGAGTGGAGGTGAATGCTTTCTGTCATACACTCTATTTATATGAGTAGATGCATGTTGCCTTTTCTCTCATCTCTCTGTATATTTATTTGTCTAAAGAAACAAAGCCTGTCAATTAACATATAATTATAGCGGTTAAGCGAATTTCTTCCAAAGCTAAAAGGGCATTTAGTTATATATGAGAAATAAGGATTTGATAAGAGCAGTAGGATCTCTAGTAGTCATCAGAAGGTAGCTACACCCCAGCATTTGCCTACTTTCCAGTCTTTCCTTCATGTTTCTAGAAGCTTTATTGTTATTGTTGTGGGATAATCACATCAATTGTGGGGATCCTGCTGAGATCCTAAAAGGTACTTAAGGTTTCAAGTAATATCTCTTTATTTTTTCTATATTTTAGCTGTAAGTTGGTGGCCTTTTGGTTTAAAAGTAGGTAGGGTTTGACCAAGTAAATTACAATGTAATCCCTTCTATATTTTTTATAATTAAGAAGATACCAGCTTTTGTTCTGCCATGTTTGCTAGATTTGTAAGGTCTTCCACTACAATCAACAGAGATTTCCTCTGCTGCAGTATCTTGTATAGACGTGGGAGCTTCCGCTCTGTAGTTACTCTTTCTTTCCTCTCTTTACCTCTTCCTTTGCAAACCCAAAAAAGATGAAGATTGGTATATTTGCTCCACAGAAGAACAGTACTGTATTAGTGCATGAATATACACTGATGATCTGACCAAAGGGAAAAAACCCTCTTTTAAATTAAAATAATTTTATCTAAGAAATTTTGAACTTAAAATTGATTGAAACATAAATTAATTTGTAGGGAGAACAGTTTAGGATTAAAAATCTAGTAATAATCAGTTCATTTTTAGCGTTGACCGTTTAAGGGCATTTCACCTAGCTCATCAATTACTTATTTTTTGCTCTAGCACTTCTAACCAAATACTTAGTTGCTTATAATAAAATTCAGCTCAGCACCTCTTAAAGTATCAGCTCCAACGCTGAAAGAGTGCTTTTAAACTACTTTTGTTTCACTATGCCAAATTGGCTCTAAGCCAATAAGCAATTCATCGTCTATAATACTAATTCCACTTCATAATTAGTTTTACACTGGGTTAACATTTCTTCTACATACTTATTATTGATTATCTGATAAGTAAAACATATTTCACCTGCAGCTCACCTGTTGCATTTATTACTACCTTTGTGACTGTGTTTGCACTAGTCATTGCCATCACCAAGGATCTACCAGATGTGGAGGGTGATCGCAAGTAAGTTGTAATACAATTTTTGAAGAAATTTGCTACTTCTTTCCCTACTTTAGTTGGAGGTTTTTATGACATTGAATTTCCTCGATGAAAAAGTTTTAATTGCTTTATACCTGCTGTCAATCTATTTCTCTCAATCCATGTTGCCTTACTTGATCTCCAATATTTTGGTTACAACTTTCAAGTGATTCACCCCATACCCCATTGCTGATAGACATTTCTTCCACCGCCTTATTTTATGAAAAGAGTTTTTTTCATGATTTGCCGTTGAAATATTCATACAGTTATTGGTGTTATAATTTGTCTGGATTTGTGGTTTTAGAAAGAAAAAAAAAAAAGGAATGTGTCTAGATTCAATTGATATGGTATACTAAATTAATCTGTACCTCATTACAGAGAATAAGTACTTACCTTATTGTAAGTAGAGGATAATTACTACTAGATTAAAACTCCTATAGAAGGGGAGATCCACTTGTTTAGTGTCAACAACTAATTCAGTAAGAATTCTTCTTCTTTTTTAGCCTCTTTTTCATAACTGTTGACATCTACAGAGTTCCTCTTTTTCATATAATGTACTAATCTAGGTTTCAGATATCTACCTTGGCAACAAAGCTTGGTGTGAGAAACATAGCATTCCTTGGCTCTGGTTTATTATTAACAAATTACATTGGTGCTGTAGTTGCGGCAATATACATGCCCCAAGTGAGTGATTTTTTTGATATTCATGTTATGTTTGATATGGTATTGACATTTTCTTTAGGGAAAGAAGTCTCACAAATCCTGATTTTGCTCTCCGTCAGAAATGATTAATAGCATAATTCTCTTCATCGCAGGCATTCAGGTGTAGCTTGATGATACCTGTACATGTCATCTTAGCATCGTGTTTAGTTTTCCAGGTACTTTGTTTGAGATTTGAATCTGATCATGATTGCGCGTCAGGGAGAGACTTACCTAGCTTATTTAATCACTGCTCTGTCATTTTGTTAACACTACTTAATGCTGTGTTGGATAATTCTATTTTATTTCAACTCTATCGACTATCGTGCATTTCTTCAGTGGTGAAGAACATGAATGAACTTGAGAGAAGTATTCTCAACTTCGCTTGTGTTGCTTTGAGATACTATGGTATAATACACTGTTCAACTATTTTGTAATTTTTAAATCCATTGTATAGCTTGAAGAAGCTTTTTAATGCAGGTAAACTGTTACTCTATCTTATGATGTCTCTGGTTATACAAGGAAAACCAAACGTGAGCAATGATAGGATTTGCAAATAGTTCTAGATTCTAAACAACAGTTCCAAAAGCTATCTGCCGTTCCTTAATTTACTTTTGTCAGTTGAATAAATACATTTTGGCTTCTCTCAAACATATGAAGATTAATTAGCGTTTATGCCTTTTGATTGATGTTTTCATTATCAATTATATTCTGGGGATAGTGCTATTGATTTAGCACTTCCTTCGTGGAATAAGCTGTGGTTATCAAGTTAGATGTAAAAATGTTTTTTTATGTATTTGCAGGCATGGTTGTTGGAAAGAGCAAATTACACCAAGGTAATTTTAAGTTTTGCATGTTTGTGTGTATTCTACTGGTAAACAACTGTAGTTTGCAAGGTGTTTAATCACTTTGTACTATCTGATATCTGCATTTTTGCAGGAAGCAATCTCAGCATACTATAGATTTATATGGAATCTTTTCTATGCGGAGTACATCATCTTTCCTTTCATCTAAAATCTACTTGATGAAGGTTTTTGTTCGATGGACCTCGAAGAAATGCAAGTTTTCTTTCTGGTTTGCAAAGGAAAATTGTCTATAGAGATGGGGGGGGTGGAGAATTTATTTATCCTGTTGTTGTATATTCTTAGGAAATTCATCAATCTATTCTTAGGAGATGGAATGCTTCTTGTGTGAGTCAATTTTGTCTATTGTAACACCCTGTATCTCCATACCAAAGGAAGAATGAATTTGTTCAACCTCAAGAGGATAAGGTGGTAAGTGGATAAATATATGGGAAAAGGGTCAAAAACGGAGAGCATTTTTGTTCCTTTCACATAGTTTAAGGGCATTTTTTATCCTATTCCCTAAATATATCAAGGAACCAATATATGAATGTTTTTGAAAGGTTAAAATAAGGTTGGAGGTCAATGGAAAGCTTAGCATAAATGTTGAAGGGTGTGCTGCTGCGATTGATTGTTTCAAATGAGTGTATCTACCAATCTAAAAGGAATTACATGGTGTTCTACCTATCAAATTGAAGCTCTGTGAGTCTTTTTTCTAATACAAATTGTTTGTCATTTCGAGTTTTAACTTTCGAGCAAAAAGTTATGGCCTTTTTACTGAAGGGTTGCAGAGTTATATATGCATTTTGCATATCAGACCTTAGGCTGTATATTGTGATATGTGGGCTGCATTTTCTAGCGTATTTTGGTCTAGCAATTGTGAACATTCTGTTTAGAAAGTGTGTTGCATTCATCCAAATGTTATAAAACTCTAATACTGATATGCTCAAATTACATCTTGCAATGAAGTATAAAGTGATTGTTATTCAAATATAGAATTTAACTAGGTTGGGGTCGATCCCATAGGAAATATGGCTAGAAACTAGGTCAATGCAATTATTTAATCTTCTAGTCAATTATTTTCAGAGGGAGTTTTATAGTAACAATCCACAATTTATCAAATATTTGTTTGAATCAATTATTAGAATGGACTCGGACAATATTTCTCATGATTTCACAACTCAGCAAGTATATTGTATTGGTGATGTATTTTGATGCTTAGCATGCAAAATGATAAGTTTGGTATATTTAAATGTTGTTCAGCCCTATTTAGATGAATGTCATTCTAAATACCTTTTGGTTTTTTTGAGTGTTTGAATTCTAAGCCTTACCTCTATTTCAGATTAACTTTATATTTTACCGCTCAAGTCATTAGACGAGGGTTGGTAGATTCGAATCTCCGTTGTTAATCTCTTTTCTTGTTCTATACATCTTTTATTAAGCAAGTTAAGAATTAAGACAAGTAATAACGTTTGCAACCGCTACAAAATAATCATTACAAAGAGAATAACAATAATTGTAGGGTAGAAGATAAAGTATGTAAGGTAATCGCTCTATTCCTATTTCCTAATATGAGCGTCCTTCGTACAAGTTAGGAAAATTTATGTGCCACAAAGTTCAATTCTTGATAAGAGGATTCTCTTTATGGGTATGTTATACTTTGATATAATTATTATTGAAATAATATTATAATTTATTAAATAAGTAATTTTAATATATAGTTTAATCAAAATAATAAGACCAAACATAAGAAAAAAGGTTCAGCCGAAAACTATTTTTTAACTTAAATAATGTATTATTTTTTTAATATTTGAATTACAATCATATATATTAAAAAAGCTTTCCTAAATTATTTTCCGTTGGGAAAAAGTAAAATAATGTATTGTTATTTGAAAGTATACCCACTTAACCACAGAATCAAAGGATATGAGTTGTTCAAGCGGGGTAAAATTTTTTATTTATACTAATATACCTACCGTATATATAATGAATGCAAGATGTTAAAAAGGATAATCCACATAAGGTAATAAATACTAACCTAAAGTACCCACACGAATGATCACTCTTGATAAAACACAAAAGGCCCCGAATGCTTATTGTTTATCACACGTTGTGTTTTGTATGGTTTACATACAACATAATTTTATATCTACTTATATTTATTTTTCAGTGCAGAACTATATATATATATATATATAATCTAACTTTATATTGATATATACTATATTCGTGCGATATGCGGTTAATTGATGTATGTAATAATAAAATAGATTTGTAGCACAATTTCAAAATTCAATTTTTAGTTGTAAATAACTAAATATTGATATTAATTACCTATCTATGGTTTACAAATTATTATTTTTACCTATCTATGAAATTAAAAATCTTTTAATGCACAATATTTTCAAATCTTCAAGAATAGAAGGAAAATAAGTGAGCACAACCACAACAATGTGTTAAAATCTTAAATTACAAAAATGTTGGTTTTAACATGAAGAAAATATATAGTTTTCTATACTAAGTATTGTAGTTAGCGTGAACTCGACTTTGATGGATCTATGGCTCAAACTATATAAAAAAATTTTGTAGTTAATATTAATCAATAAAGGAAATAAGACCAACCATAAACTTCACTCAAACAAACATTCTCTCCTATTTATAAATTAAGGGAAAATATTCAAGCAATTACATTTTCTAGTAGATATGTATGAACAAACTTCACACAACTTAGATAACCGCAATTATAAAAATTTAGAAGCGATCCCACTAATTAAATCACATGAATAACACCAAAAAGAATTTTAAAATTAAACAAATTAATTTAACTATCATTGGAGGCAAAAAATGTCCTTGAAGCAACTATAAAGAAGTAGTAAAAAAGACTTGAATCAATTCGCCGCATTTATTTTTAATATTGCAAGTGAAAATACGTCTTTTTCTATAATATTTGCCTGATTCACATTCATATTTCTAATTTATTGAAGAAAAAAAAAACTTAAAAACCGACGTCCAACATGCAAGAAAAATAAGTTGAAAGGCTAAAAAATGTAATGTCATACGGTAACCTCTAAATTTTGGTCTAATTTACCTTTAAACTTAAAATTTAAATACATTAGTTTAATAATTAAAATTAAAATTTTAGTTTAACTTAAATTCAACCTAATAACTTTCAAAAAAAAAAATCTAAAAAAGATAAATTTCAATGGGTTACTCATTGAAATTTGGTTGGTTTACTTTTAAAATAAAAACCTTAAATAAAGGATTTCCTTAAGTTTAATTTTTTTCTTCCTAGTGTTTAGGAATCACCTGCATGTAAATTATTTTTTATTAATTGTAGATTTAATTTAATCTTTGAATATATAGATAATCATCACTATAATTCAAAAAAGTAATTTATCAGCTTAAGTGTAAAAACTTATCTAAAAAAAATTTCTTTATTTTAATTTATCCTCATTTTATATTGTTTTCTGATAAAATAATATAATATGGGATCAGAAGAGTAACACAACATAATTCAAATATTGTTTGTTTAGAGAAAATCTAAAGAACTTGTGATTATTGAAATCTTAAAAGATCTGATGGCAGAAGAGAAGAGTAAATACTAAAAATGGGACTCGTTTCTTCATGGCTCAATAACATTCATCAAAGCTTACTGTTGTGGCACTCTTCATACATACATACTTCTTTGTCTTCTCACTCGCATATGTCTCCCTTAGTTCTTCATAATCGCCTGAGTCTCAATATTGTATCATCATTTTGATTTAATTTTCACATATCTACAATTGCAAGCATGTAATATGACACAATTTTCTCTAATGCAATTTCTTTTTCCGCAAAAGCCACTAAGACACTTAATTTGCTGTCAAAATTAAAGGTTAATTCCAATCCAATTTTACCTGGATAAAATAGGAGTTCTTTACACAATGGAGAGTAAATTATTATTTTCAACAATTGCAAGTGGATGAATTTAAACTTTGTTGGAGTTTATAGTACCATTTATTTTCTTACCGTAGGGCTTTATATAACTTTTGAAATTAATAATTCCGACAGTTATTTATTTAATTGGGCGGCTTAAAATTTAAATTTAAAATTCAAAATGAATTGTGTGTTAATACTATTTTTAAGCTAACACGTAAAAGTGGGAAAAAATGTTTTCAGTTTTGTTTTTAAACTTCACTAGGTAACTTATAATCGTTCTAAGCTTTTGAACAGCCTTTTCACTAATCGTCTGTTATAAGAAAAAAAAAATTTAGTAGGTTTTAAGAACATTTCAACAGAAATTAAATGATTTGACATTATCACATATCTCAAAAATTTTAAATATATAATGAATGATTAAAAATATTTTGATATCTAATCATTTTTTATCTTTTACATAATTTATCATAATATATGTTTGATGATATAATTGTCTTGTTAAAACTGAGTGATGTTTTTATGTAGCGATTAAACATATTTTTTTCCATTCTTTTGTACATGAAAAATATAGAACTGATAATTTTATGGTTAGAATAACTCCTTGTTAAAAACAAATTATATAAAAGTTTTCGATAATAAATATTAGTTATAAATAAATTAAGACCGTTAAAAATGTATACCACAACAACATAAATAAATTTTCTTAGAGACAATCTACTTGTCTGAGGTCAAACGTTCACCACTTTTCGTTATTGTTACTTTGTTACTCTAACAAAATTTATAGAAGGAGAAAAATAAATTTGAAACAACAACAAAATAATATTGTTGACCCTTTTAGAAATTCATTATTTATTAAATTGTTGCTCTGAAGGCCCTTCTAGATGCTTCATCAATGCAACTTTACGACTTTTTCAGAAATGTGTATGTATAGTTGTTGCATTATGAAAGTATAAGTAAATCAAAATGTTGGATTCTAGACTCATGTTAAAGAAATATTCTCGAACATTAAAAAAATAAAAATGAGTCTAACCTAGATAACTCAAATGCTCAGCAATGGCTTAGGACATAAAGGACAACAAATCTATGTTAATAGACATATCTTTTGTAGCTTAAGATATTACTTTTATTTAGAGCAGGTTTTGTTTCAAATTCTTCAAATTAAACTTGCTAAAAATAGTCATAACTCACACCAAATATGTTTAGTAGAGTTGAATGAGAAGGAAAAAAAGAAAAGCATTAAAAGGACGAAAGTTTTGTCCAAGTGAGATCATATACATACCAAACGAAAAATAATCAATACAATTTTAAGGAGACAACAAAACAGCGAGAAAAAACATACATTAAAGAGAGTAAATTATGAGATATCCAATGATGATAATAAATCATTCTAACCAGAGAAGTTCTCATGTTTTAAA